CTTAGAGAGCTCTTTGGTCTTGGCCATGGTGGAGAGTTTGGAATCTGATTGATTGATTGCTTCTGTGGACAGGTGTCTTTTATACAGGTAACAAGCTGAGATTAGGAGCACTCCCTTTAAGAGTGTGCTCCTAATCTCAGCTCGTTACCTGTATAAAAGACACCTGGGAGCCAGAAATCTTTCTCATTGAGAGGGGGTCAAATACTTATTTCCCTCATTAAAATGCGAATCAATTTATAACATTTTTGACATGCGTTATTCTGGATTTTTTTGTTGTTATTCTGTCTCTCACTGTTCAAATAAACCTACCATTAAAATTATAGACTGATAATTTCTTTGTCAGTGGGCAAACGTACAAAATCAGCAGGGGATCAAATACTTTTTTCCCTCACTGTACATTAAATACATGCTTTCAAATCAAATCACATTTTTCATTTGTCACATACACCTGTTTAGCAGATGTTATTGCAGTTGTAGCGAAATGCTTGTAACTGCTTTATCATGTGGAGAAATATCCTGCCTCCATTGTGTTGTGTTATGGAGAAAATGTGGGGGTCATGTTTACAGTAACTGCAAAAAGTTACAGTGAAACCAAGGGAAAAGGCAGTAACTGCCATCAGTCACATCAGTTACTGCCTTTTACCTTGGTTTCACTGAGCTTTGGGCTGCAGTGTCACGACTTCCTCCGAAGCTGCCTCCCCTCCTTGTTCGGGCAGGCTTCGTCGTTCGTCGTCACCGGCCTTCTAGCCACTGCCGCTCCATATCTCATCATTCCATTTGTCTTGTCTTGTCAATTGCACACACCTGGTTGTTCTTCCCCTCATTAGTATGTGTTTAAGTGTTCCCTCTGCCCCCTTGTCCTTGTGGGTGATTGTTCATTGTGAGGATTAGTAGCTCGGTTGAGCTCAGTATTTTATATTGCCGGGGTATTTTCCCCATGTGTATGTTTGTTCCAGTGCGCCTGTTTTGTGCACTGGACTGGTTACGATGGATTACGGAATAAACTCTGTATACTGTGATTTACCCTCCTGCGCCTGACTCCTTCAAATCACGCATCACATGCAGTGTCTACTGTTTACCTTGGTATTATTTATTGTTCTTCGCTGATACAAGTATCAAACTATATGACACTACCAGCCACATACAAATAAATATATGAACAAAAGTTTGTGTTGAAAAATGTTTGTCATGGAAACATATTCCATTGGGTGTACCAAGCAAGAAGGTAGTAACTGCCATCTAGGCCCTAGGGTCATGTCAGAGGTCGGCGTCAATATGAATAAAAAATAACCTCATAGTAAGACAACAGATAACCACATCTCCAATGATCTGCATACAATTAATTTGGCTGGACAATAAAAAAAACTGAAGTCATTTTTCTCAGTTTCACTCTATGAGCAGTTACTGCTCTTTTGCTTGGTTGCGCAGAACACACTTCTGTGAATCAAATTCGACCCACTTAATCAATTAAGCAATGCCAGCCTACCATAAACACGTTTCCAATACATACAGTTCAGTTTACAGCAACGAAAACCAATAGGCTACTAAGAAAACTATAATAGCATCTGCAGTAACCGAGTATTCCAGCCACTCTCTTCCTATGAACCAGTTGCTATTAAATTAACATTTTTCGACAGAAAACCTGCGGCTAGGGTAGGATTCTAGGCTAACGTGGGCTGAGTCTTCTGTTCCAAGATCATCAGGAACAGTCGGAGGTGGAGGCGGCTGTGGAGCCATTATCCTGGCGGCACTTGTGGAAGGGTGGGGCTCTGCATACAGATAGCTGGAGCTCGGCAGCGGCCTCAGTGGTTTAATGCTGCTGCTCATCGTTCTCCTCCTTTGTTTGGGTACTTTGGCGAAGCCAATTTTTTATATCCATCGTGGTAGATTAGCTGCTTCGAGCTAGCTAAATAGGCTAAGGCTAATAACGCTAACACTTTTTACAGCTAGCTAGCTAAGGGTGAAGCAGCTTCAACGGTAAACTTGACCCTGCCCTTATAAATCAAAATAAAATATTACAAGAAACCCAAAGGTGTCATACGACTCGTACCTAACTTCCCAGTGGCTTTCCATAGCCCTGTTAAAACCGCAGCGCGCCCTGTCCATTGTGCGCTGGGTAGATACAGATTTGTTTTGCGCCAACTTGTCACTCAGTCATTTGAATTTTTTTGATATTTTTATATAGGGACATAAAACTAAAAATGAGGGGGCTAAGCCTCCTGTAGCCCACTCATGGAGCCAGGCCCGTATCAGCATTTGATTAATGATGAACAGCTCATAATTTCAGTGTCAATCTACTAACTACACTATCACTATTAAAAAAAACACAACATTTTGTACTTTCACCATTCAACAATGAGAATCAGAATTTTCCTCAATTACAAATGTAATACAAGTTTCTATGTGACTCATGACATTGCATTACACCTTCTCCACACCTTAAAGTGTTGTTGGTTTAGGACTTTAGATAGAGGGTAGCTCCTGTTGTGGTACAATGAAGTCTTGAACAGTCTTGTGGAAGATGCCTACACTGATACACAAACAAGAAGGGTGTGAAAGGGGTGGGTATAGCATGACAACTATGTTACAGTGCACCACAAAGCAGCTACTTTAATTTCAGCATTTAGTGGTTGTCTCTTCCCTGGCTGTACCTTTTCAAATGTGAGTCGCTCTGGATAAGAGCGTCTGCTAAATGACTAAAATGTAAATTTAATCAGTAATACATTATATCAAAGAACGGTTAGAAACCCCTAGCTGACTGAACCATTGAAACATCCCTGAGAATGTTTTTGTTTACTGTACAAGGGCACCAACCCATTTCCCCTATGACAGACCAGTCTGGAAAAAAGTTTATGGTTGCAATCAGTTAACGGTCCCAATCCCCGCCACCTGTCCTTTACGTCTTTGACAGACGCTACTTATATTAGTCCTAGATGTGTCACAGGTCATATCCTAGGTCTAATATAAGAAGGTTGAGTGATTTATTGGACCTACAGTGAATTCGGAAAGTATTCAGATCCCTTCCCCTTTTCCACATTGTTACGTTACAGCCTTATTCTAAAATTGATTTAAAAATATATATTCCTCATCAATCTACACACAATACCCCATAATGACAAAGTAAAAACAGTTGTCTGAATTCTTTCCGAATGCACTGTAGGTTATTATTCCCAGGAAGCATCCCTCAGAATCTTGCCCTATTGCCAGGGTTCTGCCACAGGAATGCCCTGGCTTTAGATAAGACAGGAAGTATTGCTGGAAACATCTAAACAGGAAGATACCACCCAATGAGCTCAATCAATCTGGACACACCCACACTGTGTACCAGAGGACCAAGTCAAGTCTAACTGCCATGAGCAAGACGTTCTGATAGATACATTATTTATTGAATCATTTACACTCATGTCAGATTAATATTCCAGTGATTTAAAACATTTTACAGCATTGTGCCAGTATATAGATCAGTATACTGTAGTCTTACAGGCTACTTGTCTTCTGCCTATTTATATAATAACAATGTCTTGTAAGAGCCACAAAAGTAATGCTAGAAGTCCCTGTAGCTCAGTTGGTAGAGCATGGTGCTTGCAACGCCAGGGTTGTGGGTTCAATTCCCACGGGGGACCAGTATGAACAAATTTATGCACTCACTAACTGTAAATCGCTCTGGATAAGAGCGTCTGCTAAATTACTAAAATGTACTAAACAGTCACAGAGGCACTTTAGAGCAGCATTACATTTAACATATATCCTTATGGCAGTAATAAACAATAAGATACACTTCACTGATCTTGCCCACCCATGTGTAAGTATGAAAGTACCTACGGTATCTTTCCTTATGCTGTGCTTTTTCAGGATGCAAAATCATGCAGATAACATCAGGAAAAGTAAAAACACAATGTCAGTTTAACAAATTTAAGAATAAATGCTGCCTTTAACTGTAACTACAATAGTAGTTGCCATTTTAGCTGAGGACGTGTAATGAATGCATCTATAATGCAAATAAATTGGCATTTCACAACATGACCATGAATATGTAACTGAATTGCAGAGTAAAATGTGAACTCTATACACACACACACAGTAATGTAACATGTGACTAACTAATAACATGAATCCCTGAGCTGAAATTTTTAATCCTGTATGGTGGTCTTTCAGCCTAACTGAGGAAAAACAAAGCTGGTCACAACGCTGTTCAAAAACAATGATATTCAACTATCCAATTTAAGACATACATATAATCATTCATAAGAGCTTAAGTAATTGTACATTATAGACTTAAAGGATACGACAGTGTTTGTAGTCAGTGCTTTGTTTTTGATAAAATGTTCAGTTACCATGTAAAATAAATTGCAATAGACAAATCACTGAATTACTCTAAAATCTACTAAGACAAATATCCTCAAAGATATCCTCTATTTAACATCCAAAAGTTCTGTTTACAGTAAATTCAACTTTGAATGTTGATAAGTGTGTGTGCAAACAAGGCCATGTTTTTCTCAAATCATATCACTCTTCACCCACACACAATATCACAATAGTCACAATATCTATCTAACAGATGTCAACAGAAACGAAACAGCTGTAGAACAAATTCTGGCCACTACAACAACCACACGCTGTGACCATTTGCGGCTGAGGTGGTGTGCTTGAACCACTGCTTGACAATCAAAATGGTAAGGCTGGCATGGTATGTAGCAGGCCTGAGCGTTAGGTGATGATTCCTCCTGGAGTGGAGGGACTAGGTACAGACAGAGGGCACCTGGGTTCAAATACTATTTGAAATCATGTCAAATACTTTAGCTGTGTTTTACAGTGCTTGCATGTTGAAATGGAACCAATAGAAAAGTCCCCAATGTGCAAACACTGCTCATCTGGCACTCCTGGCAGGCTAAAGCAAACACTCAAGGTATTTACAAATACTGAAAATAGTATTTGAACCCAGGTCTGATGGCAGAGAGGATGTTGGGGAGTGGAGACGCCTGTCTCCGTCCTCTTCAACTGCGAACAGCATCTTCTGAGTCTCCTGGGCTGAAGCAGTTGAGAGACTCCTTCAGGAGGCAGAAGGAGGGAGAGACAGTGTTACCTCATGCTAAGCTGTGCCAAGGCCGGGCGCCGTCACCATACAGTTTGTTTTGACTGGCCTCTACTACACTTGAGCTCAGACAGAGGAGGGTAAGGTCAATCACAAGACACAACTTACTCTGTTTTTATAAGTTGCTGTTTTTAGAAAATTCAGTTTAAGGACACAAGTAACATCATAAAAACATGTGAAGAGAGAGAGAGACATCATTCATGCAGAAAGACAACACTAACTTGGTTTTGTGTCAACTCTGCTCCCTCAGGGTCCTCGAAGGACTGCATGCTGGGTATAAAGGGGGCCAGGGGCCGTCGAGATTGAGATGGGTTGCCAGCGCTGTAGAGGCGCGGACGCTTCACCTGGTCGTGACTGGACAGAGGGGTGAAACTGTTCCTCCGGAGGAATGTGTTGGGAACGACGTCATTACGAACTTTATCCTGGATAGAGAGGATGGAGGAAAGAGAAGGAGCATTAGAATCAGAGATAAATAAAGTTTCACTGTGTGTGTGCGCGTCTTGCATGCTACACATCTTGTGAAAACAATACAGCTTGAACAAACAACAGAATATTGAAGGCGGTGTCGCGGTTCCTTTCCCAGACATGTTAGCAGGGCTACGCTCAGTAAAAGGCAGTGTGGTCACTGGTCATGTTTATGAGTGTGACGCCCACACCACAAGGGACATCTGGTAAACACAGTGTACTGGGGACAGCACTGAGACACTGTGTGGCCTGTTCATACCAGAACTACATACTGTACTGTATAAGCAGAGCAGATCTCCAAATTAGAAGAAATTACATAAAATAGGCCCTTTGTATTGTTGAGGGTGGAAACTGTACTCTGGTCTTTTTTTTGGAGCAATTTCTCACACTATTTTGTATATACAGTGCCTTGCAAAAGTATTCATCCCCCTTGGCGTTTTTCCTATTTTGTTGCATTACAACCTGTAATTTAAATGGATTTTTATTTGGATTTCATGTAATGGACATACACAAAATAGTCCAAAAATGTCTACAAAATAAATAACGGAAAGGTGGTGCGTGCATATGTATTCACCCCCTTTGCTCTGAAGTCCCTAAATAAGATCTGTGCATCCAATTACCTTCAGAAGTCACATAATTAGTTAAATAAAGTCCACCTGTGTGCAATCCAAGTATCACATGATCTGTCACATGATCTTAGTATATATACACACCTGTTCTGAAAGGCCCCAGTCACCTTTAAGCAAGGGGCACCACCAAGCAGCAAGCGGCACCATGAAGTCTAAGGAGCTCTCCAAACAGGTCAGGGACAAAGTTGTGGAGAAGTAAAGATCAGGGTTGGGTTATAAAAACATATCAGAAACTTTGAACATCCCACAGAGCACCATTAAATCCATTATTAAAAAAATTGAAAGAATATGGCACCCCAACAAACCTGCCAGAGGGCTGCCCACCAAAACTCACGGACCAGGCAAGGAGGGCATTAATCAGAGGCAACAAAGAGACCAAAGATAACCCTGAAGGAGCTGAAAAGCTCCACAGCGGAGATTGGAGTATCTGTCCATAGGACCACTTTAAGCCATACACTCCACAGAGCTGGGCTTTACTGAAGAGTGGCCAGAAAAAAGCCATTGCTTAAAGAAAAAAATAAGCAAACACGTTTGGTGTTCGCCAAAAGGCATGTGGGAGACTCCCCAAACATATGGAAGAAGGTATTCTGGTCAGATGAGACAGAAATTGAGCCTTTTGGCCATCGCACTGTCTGGCGCAAACCCAACACCTTTCATCACCCCGAGAACACCATGTTTTTTCATCGGCAGGGACTGGGAAACTGGTCAGAATTGAAAGAATGATGGATGGCGCTAAATACAGGGAAGTTCTTGAGGGAAACCTGTCTCAGTCTTCCAGAGATTTGAGCCTGGGACGGAGGTTCACCTTCCAGCAGGACAATGACCCTAAGCATACTGCTAAAGCAACACTTGAGTGGTTTATGGGGAAATATTTAAATGTCTTGGAATGGCCTAGTCAAAGTCCAGACCTCAATCCAATTGAGAATATGTGGTATGACTTAAAGATTGCTGTACACCAGCGGAACCCATCCAACTTGAAGTAGCTGGAGCAGTTTTGCCTTGAAGAATGGGCAAAAATCCCAGTGGCTAGATGTGCCAAGCTTATAGAGACATACCCCAAGAGACTTGCAGCTGTAATTGCTGCAAAAGGTGGCTCTACAAAGTATTGACTTTGGGGGGGTGAATAGTTATGCACGCTCAAGTTCTTTTTATTTTGCATCTTCAAAGTGGTAGGCATGTTGTGTAAATCAAATGATACAAACCCCTAATAGGAAAAATGCCAAGGGGGGTGAATACTTTCGCAAGCCACTGTAACTTCATATTCTGAGGATTGACTCACTACTACCTAGAACTCTTCCAACGACAACTTCCCAGATCAGCCAGTTTGTTATGACTCGGCCGTTTACTGTACTAAAACATGACCACATGCGTTACCGTTAAGAGAGGGATACAGTATATGAACCTATGAAATTAAGTAGAACGCACAGTAGATTGAACAGAGATTTGGCAAGGAGAGCAACTCACTAATGGCCTGTCCCGGTGAGTGTTCACAGCCTCCACTTTGAGGTCAAACGTGTCCACTTTACAACCTGGCCGAGAAAAACCAACAACAACAGAGAGAAAAGCGAGAGAGAGAGAGAAAATAACAGTCAATGTTAACCTGAGAGAGAGGGAGGAGAGAGAAAGTTGTTGTGTCTGAGACTGACACAGGGTAGTCTTGGATGAGATATCCTACCATAAGCCATGGGGGTGAGCTTTAGAACCGTGTGGAGGGGACACTTCAAGTAGGGCAGGTCATCTGTGCCAACAGAAACAAAGACACAATGACTGTCTTTAGAACATTGCATGTGAGATCAATGCGTCATCTCAAAAGGACTCAATCTCATGCAGTTAATGGCACATGATAGAGTTAATAATACATATATATATATATTTAGAGATTATATTTAGATTAGCCAATATAATTACTCAATAGATTTCATTACTTCTCTTTCCTGACATTAGGGATCGGGCAGTGACAGTCAGAGGTGCCCACTGCACAGTCACAGTGTGGATGGCTTTACTAGCCTTTAAAATGCCCCTTAAGGCACAAACCACTTCCTTTCCTGACTTGGCAGACCATTAAGAGAGCCATGTGACATTCTGTTTAGCCTCAACTTCTATTTCTGTCCTTCATCCAGGATGAACATCAGCAAAGGCAAACTTTTCCACTCAAAACAAGCAGAAGTCAAATTGTGTGTTTGTATGCTTGTATCCCGGCTAAAGTAATTGATTTTCCTAACGAGGGGCAGTGTGTGTGTCTGTGAATCTGTGTATATACAGGGCCTTCGTAAAGTATTCAGACACCTTGACTTTTTCCACATTTTCTTACGTTACAACCTTATTCAAAAATGTATTAAATAGTTTTTTTTCCCTCATTAATCTACACACAATGCCCCATAATGACAAAGCAAAAACAGCTTTTAGACATTTTTGCTAATTTATAAAAAATAATAAACTGAAATATCACATTTACATAAGTATTCAGACACTTTACTCAGTACTTTGTTGAAGCACCTTTGGCAGCGATTACAGCATCGAGTCTTCTTGGGTATGACGCTACAAGCTTGGCACACCTGTATTTGGGAAGTTTTTCCCCATTCTTCTCTGCACACCCTCTCAAACTCTGTCAGGTTGAATGGGGAGCGTCGCTGCACAGCTATTTTCAGGTCTCTCCAGAGATGTTCGATCGAGTTCAAGTCCGGGCTCTGGCTGGGCCACTCAAGGACATTCAGAGACTTGTCCCGAAGCCACTCCTGCGTTGTCTTGGCTGTGTAGGGATGGTGCCAGGTTTCCTCCAGACGTGACGCTTGGCATTCAGGCCAAAGAGTTCAATCTTGGTTTCATCAGACCAGAGAATCTTGTTTCTCATTGTCAGAGTCTTTAGGTGCCTTTTGGCAAACTCCAAGCGGGCTGTCATGTGCCTTTTACTGAGGATGGCTTCTGTCTGTCCACTCTAAATTCCAAGCATCTACCTCTAACCCTAGGAAGATCTTTGCCACCTTCTCCTCCCTGCTGAATCCCCCCCCCCCTTCTCCCTCTCTGTGGATGACTTCGTCAACCATTTTGAAAAGAAGGTTGACGACATCCGATCCTCGTTTGTTAAGTCTAATGACACTGCTTGTCCTGCTCACACTGCCCTACCCTATGCTTTGACTTCTTTCTCCCCTCTCTCTCCAGATAAAATCTTGCGACTTGTGACGGCCGGCCGCCCAACAACCTGCCCGCTTGACCCTATCCCCTCCTCTCTTCTCCAGACCATCTACGGTGACCTTCTCCCTTACCTCACGCTCATCAACTCATCCTTGACCGCTGGCTATGTCCCTTCCGTCTTCAAGAGAGCGAGAGTTGTACCCCTTCTCAAAAAACCAACACTCGATCCCTCTGATGTCAACAACTACAGACCAGTATCCCTTCTTTCTTTTCTCGCCAAAACTCTTGAGCGTGCCGTCTTTAGCCAACTCTCTTGCTATCTCTCTCAGAATGACCTTCTTGATCCAAACCAGTCAGGTTTCAAGACTGGTCATTCAACTGAGACTGCTCTTCTCTGTGTCACGGAGGCTCTCCGCACTGCTAAAGCTAACTCTCTCTCCTCTGCTCTTGTACTTCTAGACCTGTCTGCTGCCTTTGATACTGTGAACCATCAGATCCTCCTCTCCACCCTCTCCGAGCTGGGCATCTCCGGCGCGGCTCACTCTTGGATTGCGTCCTACCTGACCGGTCGCTCCTACCAAGTGGCGTGGCGAAGGGCTGTCTCCGCACCACGTGCTCTCACCACTGGTGTCCCCCAGGGCTCAGTTCTAGGCCCTCTCCTATTCTCGCTATACACCAAGTCACTTGGCTCTGTCATATCCTCACATGGCCTCTCCTATCATTGCTACGCAGACAACACACAACTAATCTTCTCCTTTCCCCCTTCTGATAACCAGGTGGCGAATCGCATCTCTGCATGTCTGGCAGACATATCAGTGTGGATGACGGATCACCACCTCAAGCTGAACCTTGGCAAGACGGAGCTGCTCTTCCTCCCGGGGAAGGACTGCCCGTTCCATGATCTCGCCATCACGGTTGACAACTCCGTTGTGTCCTCCTCCCGGAGTGCGAAGAGCCTTGGCGTGACCCTGGACAACACCCTGTCGTTCTCCACTAACATCAAGGCGGTGACCCGATCCTGCAGGTTCATGCTCTACAACATTCGGAGAGTACGACCCTGCCTTACACAGGAAGCGGCACAGGTCCTAATCCAGGCACTTGTCATCTCCCGTCTGGATTACTGCAACTCGCTGTTGGCTGGGCTCCCTGCCTGTGCCATTAAACCCCTACAACTCATCCAGAATGCCGCAGCCCGTCTGGTGTTCAACCTTCACAAGTTCTCTCACGTCACCCCGCTCCTCCGCACACTCCACTGGCTTCCAGTTGAAGCTCGCATCTGCTACAAGACCATGGTGCTTGCCTACGGAGCTGTGAGGGGAACGGCTCTGATCAGTCCCTACACCCAAACGAGGGCATTGCGTTCATCCACCTCTGGCCTGCTGGCCCCCCTACCTCTGCGGAAGCACAGTTCCCGCTCAGCCCAGTCAAAACTGTTCGCTGCTCTGGCACCCAAATGGTGGAACAAGCTCCCTCACGACGCCAGGACAGCGGAGTCACTCACCACCTTCCGGAGACACTTGAAACCCCACCTCTTTAAGGAATACCTGGGATAGGATAAAGTAATCCTTCTAACCCCCCCCAAAAAAACATTGTAAAGTGGTTATCCCACTGGCTATAAGGTGAATGCACCAATTTGTAAGTCGCTCTGGATAAGAGCGTCTGCTAAATGACGTAAATGTAAATGTCTGGCCACTCTACCATAAAGGCCTGATTGGTGGAGTGCTGCAGAGATGGTTGTCCTTCTGGAAGGTTCTCCCATCTCCACAGAGGAACTCTAGAGCTCTGTCAGAGTGACCATCGGGTTCTTGGTCACCTCCCTGACCAAGGTCCTTCTCCCCCGATTTCTCAGTTAGGCCGGGCGGCCAGCTCTAGGAAGAGTCTTGGTGGTTCCAAACTTCTTCCATTTAAGAATGATGGGGGCCACTGTGTTCTTGGGGACCTTCAATGCTGCAGACATTTTTTGGTACCCTTCCCCAGATCTGTGCCTCGACACAATCCTGTCTCGGAGAGCTCTACGGACAATTCCTTCGACCTCATGGCTTGGTTTTTGCTCTGACATGCACTGTCAACTGTGGGACCTTATATAGAAAGGTGTGTGCCTTTCCAAATCATGTCCAATCAATTGAATTTACCACAGGTGGTCTCCAATCAAGTTGTAGAAACATCTCAAGGATGATCAATGGAAACAGGATGCACCTGAGCTCAATTTCGAGTCTCATAGCATGGTCTGAATACTTATGTAAGTAAGGTATTTCTGTTTATCTAAATTATCTAAAAACCTGTTTTCGCTTTGTCATTATGGGGTTTGCTGAGGAAAAATAATTATTTAATCAATTTTAGAATAAGGCTATAACGTAACAAAATGTGGAAAAAGTCAAGGGGTCTGAATACTTTCCGAAGGCACTGTAAGTGAGTTTGTGTGTTTGTACCAGCACTCTTATCCAGGAAGTAAGCGAGCAGGCAGCGCATGACAGCCTGGTGACAGATGACCAGCACGTTGCCCTGTCTTTCCAGCTCCATGATGACCGGCTCTAACCTCTGCACCAGGTCCTGGTAGGACTACAGAGAGAGGAGAGGAACAAACTGAGCTCACTGCTTCAGATGAATGCGACAGATCTCTGTAGAGAGATAAGGAGTAACTGTACCTCTCCTCCTGGGTAGCGGTAGTGGTACTTGTCCTGCTCTCTTAAGGCAAACTCCGCAGGGTAGAATTCCTCAATCATCTCATAGGTCATCTCCTCACAAACACCCTGAGAAACATAAATACGTTTATTTATAGACAATCATTATTAAAAAATTTAACCCCTACCATGTTTCGTCTATGGGTCACTATTGAACCGTGGTGTTGTGGTACTGACGGCATCGATCTCGTTGAGTATCTTCCACTGCTCGTAGGGCACCCCGAGCTCCTCCGCAGTCTGGATAGTCCGTCTCAGCTGGCTGGTCCACACCTTTAGGTCTGGCAGACCATGCTCCTCCACAAAACCCTTCAGCGCTCCAGCAAACTGAGAGAGGATTAGAATCGGCATTGTAGGTTTATTTGTAGACAGTATGTAAGTGAGATGAAGTCATACAGTTATTGAGTGTGCAAGATGAATATATATATAGAACATAGAGCAACATAGCATGAAGTGGCACAATGGTTTCTGTACTTGTAATGATATACTAAAGGAAAAGTCGATCTATACCTTTTTCCCTTGAACAGACAGCATTGCGTCACCCCCGATGCGTCCCTTCATGTTGTGGTCGCTCTCTCCGTGCCGACACAGGTAGATAGAGTGAGAGTGCACGTGGATGTTCATCAGGTAGTACACGATCTTGCTCTGGATGTAGTCCTGCACCCTGTTTACCAGGAAGCTCCGGCCCACATTGATGACCTGGATGAAGGACAGGTCCCTAAGGGTCAGAGGTTAGAATGGAGGTCAAGATGGAATTTATCAGTGACCTGATAGCATCTTGATCCTATGCAGACTGATTGCTAATGACGCTAATAATGATCATCATGAAGATCTACTCATTAGCAAAATGTATTCTCAATACAATAGTTCGGAGAAATCAAAGAAATTGACAATAACTTTTAATAATAAAATTAGCTTCTCTCAAATATTAACACATTTCTCTGTGTAGAATATACAGTAGCTATTCAGTGCCTGCTATCTGTATGTATTAAATGGCCCGAACTGCTGAAAACAAAGGCTTTCGCAAGGCCCTGGCTGGCCCAGTAAGAGGTGAAGCAACTGTTCCTCTTCTCTAACTGGGACAATGTCCAGAGGAATTTACTGATGTTATGACTTGGAGGCCCAGGCTTGAGGAGAGCTCAGGCTCAGGATAAAATTGTATTTTGTACATTTCTTGAAGATTAACTTCGGTACAAAATCATTGTGTTGTTTTATAAGGCTTATCATACGAGGGTCTATATCTAATAATACTATGGTGAATTAGGAATAATTACCAATGAAGCAGAAACATTTTCTGTCAGGAGATTTAGAATTGGAAATCAGACCAATGATGTTAGGACGAGGAGTCAATGTGGTGACAAAGCAGGCCATAATCTGAAAAAACACCTTTGTCAACCTTGTGTGTTGTCTCCACCTACTGGACAAACTATGGAACTCTTGATGAAGGTTTGTAAATACAAATGGCTTGACTGACAAAATGTATAAATTAAAGCTACACTGTGGAACTTTGTATGTACTGGTGTTTTTAGAGACCCCTGTGGCAAGAATGAAAAAAATAATCTAGATTTGAACACAATTCCCCAGAAACCCCCGCTCTCATGGGTAGTCGCTAGAATGACGTAGTCCATCAACATCCTCTCTAAAGAGAGTATAGGCTGATTTCTCCCTGCTCTGTTGGCAAGTATTTTTCTCAGCTCATATAGGAGTCAAACGCCTAGTGCACTAATTTAGTGGAAAAACACCATTTTCTCAAAAAGGTTTTTTAATATATGAATAATTTTTTATTGGTGATTTATCACGGGGTGCAGCAGCACCCTCAACACCCCTACTTCCCGCAGCTATGGGTACATTGTAATAATGTTATAGCTACCATGAATTTCTCTGCCTGGTAAAAGATTAGATAGCTATCTGAAGATAGCTAGCAAGCTAGCTAACTTGGTAAAGACTTCTGAGTACTACGTACGTTTTCACACTTCCCGGGAGCAACCAAGTCTGACAATTGGAATATTTTACGTGCCTATTTAAATCCTTTGTAAATCCACTCCACAATAGCCTATCAACTTTTTAGGATCATCAAAGACATTACAATGATGAACCATATTAATTTTGGCATTGATATCTTTAAAAGAAAATAAACTATTAACAATTCACGTTTTTGACTATGTAACGCTAATGCTTAATATAATCACACAAACAATCTTCTCATGGACTAAAAGTTTGAGAAAAGCTAAGAGATTGGTCAAAAGATGGCTGAGTTTTTGAGAAATCAAAAATCGGATTTTATATGTCCATTTCAACCACTGTAAATCCACTCCACAGTGGCCTATCAACTTAAAATGTGTCATCACTATTACATTTACATTTACATTTTAGTCATTTAGCAGACGCTCTTATCCAGAGCGACTTACAGGAGCAATTAGGGTTAAGTGCCTTGCTCAAGGGCACATTTACGTCATTTAGCAGACGCTCTTATCCAGAGCGACTCACAAATTGGTGCATTCACCCTATAGCCAGTGGGATAACCACTTTACCATTTTTTTTTTGGGGGGTTGGGGTAGAAGGATTACTTTATCCTATCCCAGGTATTCCTTAAAGAGGTGGGGTTTCAAATGTCTCCGGAAGGTGGTGAGTGACTCCGCTGTCCTGGCGTCGTGAGGGAGCTTGTTCCACCATTGGGGTGCCAGAGCAGCGAACAGTTTTGACTGGGCTGAGCGGGAACTATGCTTCCGCAGAGGAAGGGGAGCCAGCAGGCCAGAGGTGGATGAACGCAATGCCCTCGTTTGGGTGTAGGGACTGATCAGAGCCCGAAGGTACAGAGGTGCCGTTCCCCTCACTGCTCCATAGGCAAGCATCATGGTCTTGTAACGGATGCGAGCTTCAACTGGAAGCCTATCTTTGACGTCTCTAAGACGAACCACACTGAATTTGATATATATATATATATATATATATATATAAAAAGAGGAAACTATTAACAACTAATTCTTTGCATATGTAACGTTAATGCTCAAAATCATCTGCTCCTCATGAACCATGTCAGATTCACTCCAGATTTTGTATTTAGACTCATTACATTAGTATTTAATGGTTTTACGAAATAATTGTGGCTGCATTCAAATATGGCCGCACTGTACTTATAGATGCACGTTAGCACATATGCTAACGCAAGAAATACTTAAGAAATCTCCTTCTCATGAACCATAAATCAGATTGACTCCAGATTTGGTATACTGTATAGACTCAATAAATTAGCCTCTAATGAATTTGAGAATGATTAGTTGCTGCATTCAAAGTCGGCCACGCTACAGCACTAGATGGCACCATATCACACCAGGGCTATAAGAACTGAACCGATGGACATGGGGCCATCGGTTCAGTTCAAGCTGTGTGAATATAAAGTCACTTTAACCCTGATTGTTGCACCAAACTAGTTGGTGGCACTATAATATGCCATTTAGCAGATGCTGTTATCCAAAGCGACTTACAGTCATGTGCGCATACATTTTTACGTATGGGTGGTCACGGGGATCGAACCCACTACCCTGGCGTTACAAGCGCCGTGCTCTACCAATTGAGCTACAGAGGACCACACATCATTGGCACCATAGGATACTAGAGCAATATCTACTGATCAAGTGAACTTTGTCTCATGCAAATGAATGTTGGGTTTAAATTATGCAGACGAATAATGTGAAATACCGTGATTAGTATATCTGTATATTCACAGTTGCCCTATTATGTGATCTGAATGTAGTGAAAAGTTCTGCTGCTTGCGCAGTCTGCATATTACAGCTGTGAGAGTGTATTGAAGTATTGTGGAGTGTACCAACTGAGATTTAGATAATTTAAACAAACAGATTTCAACAAAATAATGTACCAGAATTCAAAGATGACCGCAATATACAAATACACTAACGCTGAAAATATTTCACAATATTTCAAACCATTAGTCAAATTGACCCCAGAGTTGGTACAGTGAGGGAAAAAAGTATTTGATCCCCAGCTGATTTTGTACGTTTGCCCACTGACAAAGACATGATCAGTCTATAATTTTAATGGTAGGTTTATTTGAACAGTGAGAGACAGAATAACAACAACAAAATCCAGAAAAACGCATGTCAAAAATGTTATAAATTGATTTGCATTTTAATGACGGAAATAAGTATTTGACCCCTCTGCAAAACATGACTTAGTACTTGGTGGCAAAACCCTTGTTGGCAATCACAGAGGTCAGACGTTTCTTGTAGTTGGCCACCAGGTTTGCACACATCTCAAGAGGGATTTTGTCCCACTCCTCTTTGCAGATCTTCTCCAAGTCATTAAGGTTTCGAGGCTGACGTTTGGCAACTCGAACCTTCAGCTCCCTCCACATATTTTCTATGGGATTAAGGTCTGGAGACTGGCTAGGCCACTCCAGGACCTTAATGTGCTTCTTCTTGAGCCACTCCTTTGTTGCCTTGGCCGTGTGTTTTGGGTCATTGTCATGCTGGAATACCAATCCACGACCCATTTTCAATGCCCTGGCTGAGGGAAGGAGGTTCTCACCCAAGATTTGACGGTACATGGCCCCGTCCATCGTCCCTTTGATGCGGTGAAGTTGTCCTGTCCCCTTAGCAGAAAAACACCCCCAAAGTATAATGTTTCCACCTCCATGTTTGACGGTGGGGATGGTGTTCTTGGGGTCATTGGCAGCATTCCTCCTCCTCCAAACACGGCGAGTTGAGTTGATGCCAAAGAGCTCGATTTTGGTCTCATCTGACCACAACACTTTCACCCAGTTCTCCTCTGAATCATTCAGATGTTCATTGGCAAACTTCAGACGGACCTGTACATGTGCTTTCTTGAGCAGGGGGACCTTGCGGGCGCTGCAGGATTTCAGTCCTTCACGGCGTAGTGTGTTACCAATTGTTTTCTTGGTGACTATGGTCCCAGCTGCCTTGAGATAATTGACAAGATCCTCCCGTGTAGTTCTGGGCTGATTCCTCACCGTTCTCATGATCATTGCAACTCCACGAGGTGAGATCTTGCATGGAGCCCCAGGCCGAGGGAGATTGACAGTTATTTTGTGTTTCTATTTCTGTGTTGTCACCTTCTCACCAAGCTGCTTGGCGATGGTCTTGTAGCCTATTCCAGCCTTGTGTAGGTCTACAATCTTGTCTCTGACATCCTTGGAGAGCTCTTTGGTCTTGGCCATGGTGGAGAGTTTGGAATCTGATTGATTGATTGCTTCTGTGGACAGGTGTCTTTTATACAGGTAACAAACTGAGATTAGGAGCACTCCCTTTAAGAGTGTGCTCCTAATCTCAGCTTGTTACCTGTATAAAAGACACCTGGGAGCCAGAAATATTTCTGATTGAGAGGGGGTTAAATACTTATTTCCCTCATTAAAATGCAAATCAATTTATAACATTTTTGACATGCGTTTTTCTGGATTTTGTTGTTGTTATTCTGTCTCTCACTGTTCAAATAAACCTACCATTAAAATTATAGACTGATCATTTCTTTGTCAGTGGGCAAACGTACAAAATCAGCAGGGGATCAAATACTTTTTTCCCTCACTATACCTCCAACCTCACTTGACGATGAGTTTTGTGATATCCTTCTCCCAAAAAATCATATTAAACTATCTGTGACAGAAAACAAATATTGTGAAGGCCTAATATTGCAAAAATCTCTGAAGCTGGAGACTCTTATCTCCCTCAGTAACTTTAGGCATCAGTTGTCAGAGCACCTTACCGATCACTGCACCTGTACACAGCCCATCTGAAATTAGCCCACCCAACTACCTCATCCCTATATTGTTATTTATTTTGCTCTTTTGCACCCCAGTATCTCTATTTGCACATAATCTCTTGCACATCTAGCATTCCAGTGTTAATACTATTGTAATTATTCTGCACTATAGCCTATTTATTGCCTTACCTCCATAACTTGCTACATTTGCACACACTGTATATATATTTTCTGTTGTATTTCTGACTTTATGTTTTTTACCCCATATGTAACTCTGTGTTGTTTTTATTGCACTACTTTGCTTTATCTTGGCCAGGTCGCAGTTGTAAATGAGAACCTGTTCTCAACTGGCTTACCTGGTTAAATAAAGGTGAAATAAAAAAAATAATAAAAATAATTACACAGGACGAACTATGGTTGGCAATTGATTCCTTTCAGACGGGGAAAACCCCTGGCCTCGATGGCATTCCAATAGAGATATATCAAACTTTTTTGAACTACTGAAAGATCCATTACTATCATGTTTAAATTACTGTTATATAAATGGCAAATTGTCGGACACACAAAAAGAGGGACTGATCTCTCTCCTACTGAAGACCCTGTCTCTAAAAAAATTGGAGGCCCCTCACCCTTCAATGTTTCGTCGGGAAAAATATTGGCAAAATGTATTGCTCATAGAATTAAAAAAGGTCCTACCAGACATTACTCATCACGATCAGACGGGATTCTTAAAAGGAAGATATATTAGAGACAACATTAGACAACTACTAGAAATAATTGAAAACTATGAGAATGCAGGGAAACCAGGTATACTCTTTAGAGCAGATTTTGAATCTGTTTATAAGTGCCTGGATTGTATAAGATGGGTAACAGTCATGTACAACAATAATTTATGTAAAATAATAAATAACGGTTACTTCTCTGAGAACCTTGAATTGTCAAGAGGCATAAAACAAGGTTGCCCTCTGTCACCATACTTATTTATTATGGCCATTGAACAGTTAGCTATAAAAATCTGATTTAATGATAACATTACGGGGCAAAAGATTATGCATTAGAGACAAAAGTATCAATGCAAGCCGGTGATTAAAGTTCTCTCTTGAGTCCTTAATCTTCAACCTTGAAGGGCCTTATTGAGGACCTGGATAATGTATTCTGTTTCTTTGGACTAAAACCCAACTATGATAAGTGTATTATATTACGGATTGGGTCTCTTAAAGATATAAACTTTAACATTGCCATGTGGTCTCCCGATTAAATGGATGGATGGTGAAGTGGATGTGCTTGGTATACATATCCCGGAAAAGTTGAGCGATTTTGCAACTATTAACTTTGATAGAAAACTTTGCAAAATAGATAGGATCTTGAAACTGTGGAGAGGGAAACACCTGTCCATCTACGGGAAAATTACTCTTATTAATTCTCTAGTGATATCGCAGTTTCCATATTTATTCATGGCTCTACCGACTTCAGAAGAATCCTTTTTCAAATCAGGCAAGAAAAATATATCTCATTTTATTTGGAATTGCAAAACAGATAAAGTTAAATGGGCATATGTATATAGTGAACATGAGTTTGAAGGGTTAAAACGATTAAATATTAAAGGCATTAAACCTCCCTCTTAAAGCCTCCATTATACCGAAATTATATCTAAAGCCAAACTGGTTTTCCAGCACGCTACTAAGAGGCACATCCAATGTTCAAATGGGGGCTTTTTGCTGTTAAACATATTAAAACCAACCATTTCCGGAGGATTGACAATGGATCCCTGTTTAAAGTATTGTCCTTTTTAGATGAAGTCATACAGAGTTGGTTACAATTCCAATTTCATCCTCCAGAAGAGGCAGAACAAATATTACAGCAAATAATATGGCTAAACTCCAACGTATTTAGAGGAAAGACCAATTTTCTAGGAAGAAATGTATAAGGATGGTATGTTTCTAAATTGTAAGTAAGGACGGTAAAATTGTCACACAAGCAATGAACAAAGGTTTATGGAGATGTATACTCAATACAAAAGTATAACCAACTCTTCGCAGCTCTGCCACAAAAATGGAAGAGGCAAACTTTTGAACGGTAGTGTACATAATGCAGTATTAACCATTTAAAATAGAGAACGTCTTACTTGTCGTGTTCATCAGGGTCTAATGGTTGGTACATGACTTTATAACATTCTATTCTCTTCAGGAAGTCCTCCATCACACTCTCTCTGTCTCTTTCTGGGTAGTCTGGACTGGACACCTTCACATCCTGGGGAGGAGAGGGAGGTGCACAAGACTTAAAGTGTGGAAATCCTTAAGAAGATTACTATAGAATGTTTTAATGAGAAATAAAACTCATAATGTAGTTACGTTTTTAAACATGCAAGTTAATTTACCATAATATTAGCAGCAATGACATCAGGGTCGTCACACAATGACTCCACAAAAAACACCTGCGAAAGAGACCAATCTTTGAAGATACACTTCACTAAACCATTTTGACAACAATAATTGGGAATAATAATAATAACACTGACCTTGTAAGCATGTTCCTTTGCAAAACTAAGGATTAATTCTCTCCTCTCTCGGGTGGTGTTTGTGGCATCAAAGACCTGAAAGACATAATCACATCTCACTGATATCTCAAATTAAGCTTGTCTTTTCAGTTTAATATTACTATTTTGTCTCCAATTACTCAAAACAGCAGAGAGAGTAGATACTCACAGCGATCTGGCCCCCCTCTTCAGTCAGATAAGCTTTGACATCCTGCAGAGCCACCAGAGCACACTGCCTGTAGGGACACAGTGACCCACATCAATAACAATTGAAATGAAAAATCAGTAACACTTCACTTAAAACCGACAGATATAATGCATTATGTTGCTATAATGCATTGTAAGACCATGTATGATGACCCCATTATGTCTTAGTAACATTTATGTTCAATCTGTTGAAGAATTATAGCATAGAAATACGCAATATATTACAAGCCTTATAATAATACATTATAGGGTTCATATAACGCTTATAACAAGTATCATACCTGTTGGTCTAGCAGCTAGCATTAAACTGAGAGAAAGGAAAATGGCGGGCGGCCAGGTGACTCACTACCATTGAGATCCTCACTAAAAAAGTAATTACATTAATTGTCTCAATCCAGTAGGGGGCCTTATAAACCTCAGCAAGGTTTTCAATACAGATAACACCTGCCTGGAGCTGGAGAAAACATGGAGGGCATATTCTAGAAAAAAAAAGGGTTACTGTAATACTGAACAACTCAAAGGAACCTAATTCTTCTGCCACAGGTCCAAAAATACTATACTTCCTGATTTCCATGGCCTCCTCGTTGTCATGTCTGAAGAAGTCATAGGACTTGTAGGCTTTCACAGCCTCTCGCCTGTAGACCCCCAGGTTGAATACTGCAACACAATACAGGGCCTTCATCAGGTGATGAAAGGCACAACATGTTCTTGTAATCAGTACAATGTCATGTGACATTTTCCTGAACTGTGGAAGGAAGACATGGGTTCTGCAGCATCGCAGTTCAATTACATCATTCACTATACTGTAAATATATCTACACAAAAGAGCCCTTTGATTGGTAGTCCACACAAAGGAATTAATTTACACATCGTATAGAGGATTATGTTTGTATTGAATACAGTAACATGAATAATGAGGAAAGTGTGGCTTCAATGTTTATCTTCCGGTTGGGCAGGTCTGGAAAAATATTGAATGAAAATACAGTATAGTACATAGAGTGAGGCCTTTATACTAACCCTTGGTTGGCACTCCTATCCAGTTGAGGTAGCGGGTCAGCTTTTTGGACATGTAGGTTTTCCCTCTGGCAGGAAGACCAATCATCACAATCACAGTGGGGGAGTTGGTCATGTAAGAGGCCCATGCTGTTCACACAGACAGAGAAACATAAATCCCAACCAAACAACTTACTTTGAAATGTCAATAGAACGTAGGCTAAGTATTTTACCATGGCACAGTAACTCCATTATATTTTATCATTGTAAAAAAAAAAAGGCCAATATGTTTAGAGAGTTGATCTATTTTCAATTATTCCTTTGGGTTTCTTTTTTCATCCAGATCTTCTCACTAGCAGTGGTTAATGTTTTTCAAACAGCAGCTGCTTAGCAACTGACTGTCCACAGACACTGTTAAGTCTTTGACCAGAAATTTACAAATTAAGCATGGTGTTCTGAAGAATGTTATTGTTAGTGTGTGTCTCTCTCTCTCTCCTTTGGTCTGTTAATGCAGATAGATTTTAAAAACCACCAACACCAATCCTCAGTCCTTTGCACACAAACCCTTGCTATGCTTAACAAGACCAGGCATTACATTTGCATGCTACACATTCCTTAAACCAGCCCTGTGGCTTAAAAATTCAGTGGTTAGCAAGCAGCCAACCGCAACAGATTTGTGTGTGTGAATGCGAGTATGAGGTATGAGTGTGTTTGGGATATCTTGGAACCATCTCCAGTTCCTAATTACAGATTCCTCAGAGTGGACTGGACTGGCTAGTTAAAGGTCCAATGCAGCAGCTTTTATCTCAATATCAAATCATTTCTGGGTAACAATTAAGTACCTTACTGTGATTGTTTTCAATTAAAATGGTCAAAAATAAACAAAAATAGCATCTTAGGGCAATTTCTCGAGCAAGAATTTTGCTAGGACTGTCTGCGTGGTCTGAATGGGGAGGGGAAAACTGACAATTAGCTGTTATTGGCAGAGTATGGAACTCTTTCTTATTGGTATTTAACTAATTTTCCACATGGTGATGTCAACATGGAAGGCTGAAACTCCATCCCACCAAAACAGGAAGAAGTTTTAGGTGGTATTTTCAAACAGCTCTTAAACTAAAAGGGCATTATCATCATTTTCACAATTTCACAGTATTATTCTAACCTCATAGTGTGGAAATATATATATAAAGACACCCGGAAATCTAGTTGACTGCACTGTGCCTTTAATGCTAGATTTATTTCACTGGGGGTGATCGCAAAAACACATGCACTGATGACTGCACACATCACATCTAATCTAGTTTGAACAGAAGTGTGAAGAAAGGCTCTATGCCTAAGGTAAACTATCAGAGCACCTTTCACATGTTGTATGCAGGTAGGGAGACAAGAGATGCCTAGTTTCACATTGCATGACAGGGGAGGAAGGGGACGTTTGTCCAAGTGACAAGCCAGCGAGGCAAAAAAATAGGGCTGATTACTTGGTAAAAAATTGCATTTTGTGTTCATTTCTAAATGTCAGATTCTGCACAGCCCAATTCAATTCCATGTAATCAATGTAATTGCCTTGTGTCGTTAGGAACATAGCTCACATTGGTTATGCAGCAGCTTGCAATGAATACCCAAAGATCAGGTTGACATTTAACCTAATTGGGTTAATACAGGAAAGGGACCAGAATAGACTGGAGCATATGAGGCAGGCAGACAAGACACTAGTACTTACAGCATTTCTTCAGTACTTCATTAGCCCTGAGTTCCGTTCTCTTCCCCTCTGCTGAACTTTCCAGCACTGCACTGCCTTTCTGTTGGCGGGCAGCCATGATGCTAGTAGACACAGCACACTGTCACTGTGCTGTCCAATGACTGGTCCTGTCACGGCAGGGTCGCCTGGCTAGTCCTGTCACGGCAGGGTCGCCTGGCTGGGGACTCTCTCTGGGACTGGGAGGTCAGGACACTCTAGCTAAGTGAGGTCATCATCTCTGCAGAAGATTCTGCAGATAACATAGTTGTTTAGTCTATCTTCCCAGATTCCATAAATTGTTTACTTTCAAACAATCATAGCTAGCTAGCTGAGTAAATATTTTACACAATTAGTTTAGCTAGTTAACCTATAAATACGCCTAGCTACTGTTACAGTGCAAAATATGTCTAGCTAGCTAAGCATAATACATACCCTTTACATCTGAAGAAAGTGACAGTTTATTTTTTTTCACACGTTCATATGACACGCTTGTTCTATCTACAACAACTTGAAGACATAAGACCGGTTCAGCTACAACTTCATACTATGCAACAACAACAGTTTCACCTCAGCACGACGGATAATTTACAGAAGCACTTACCAAAATGACAACAAGTGAGTCGACAGACACAATATGACACTTTGTAACCACTCTGTACAGTAGCTATTTCATCTGTCTGCTCTCACGCTCCGAGGTATTCTATTGTTTGGCTCCTCCCCCCCGACACTGCGGGAAGGAAATCAACATGCGCAATGACTGACGATAAACACACGGTAACACAGATAGAACAATGAGACAGATATTTCACCGGATGTATAAATGTGAAGCATCCGCTTTGCGTTTCCGCTCACTATCAAATATGGTAGTAAGAGGAAGCCCAGTGGCCGGCAGTGGGAGAAGATGGATTTTGACTGACATTCTGAACGTTTTCTCATCGATGAATCATTTCATCTCAATAGAGTTTTCTGTTCCCAAAACTACAATATGTTATGAACAGAGTGTACTAAGTTTTGTAGACTTTACCCTTTGCCAAAGTTGTTAAAACTTGCGTTGTTTAGAAGGAGTACAGAGGCGAATTGAGTTATTGCACACGCACACTTCACAGAGTAGACGTTCTCTAACGGAAATATGCAGATGCATGCTAGAAGGGGCCAATAGGATCTCGCTAGCTGTGTGGGCCAGAGACGGATAAACTAAATCCTACCTGTGAGCCCCGTTTCTCTTAAAAAATAAACAAAATATTAGAGAATGTATCTAATTACCTTCTACTCAATATACTCTTTAAACTAATTTCCTGTATCCCCTTCTCCCTCATACTAGATCTCAGCCTCTCTTTCCCTCTCATACTGCCCACACTGTATCAATACATGCTCCACTGTTTCTGTTTCCTGGCAATAATCACACTTTCCTGTTGCATGCATTCCTATAACATTAAAGTCTTATTCAATCGGCTATGTCCCACCCTTAATAAATAGCCTCCTCTCTTCTGTCCCTTCCTATCGTCCTCCCCAACTTTCCTATGTACTTGAAATAAATGCCTGCTCTTAGTATCTCTATTACACTGCTCCTGCCATCTCTGCACCACCACTGTCCATATCAGGCTTTTTGCCACTGCCTTGCTTATTGAAACTACAACATCAACATCCCCACTACTAAGTGCTTGTTTAGCCAGTACATCAACTGCCTCATTCCCCTCCACCCCCAAGTAAATATGATCTGTATACCCATCTGTCTAATCCTGCCATGGGTTTGTAGTACATCATAAAGCAGGTATTGTCTGCTACGTTAGCTAAAGAACTGCAGACTCATCAACACTGCACATGAATCAGAGCAAATAACTACTCTATCTGGCTTGACTTCCTCCACCCACTGCAAGGCCAACAGTATGGCCATCAGCTCCGCCGTATATAGAGCCAGATGACCTGTAATATGTTTCCTGACTACCACCCCACATTCCTGCACTACAAATGCTGATCCAGTACGTCCTGTCGTTTGAACCATCTGTGTAAATGGCCACAAAATCCTGATACACAGTATCCAGACGTCCATTAAACAAATCAGATTGATCAACACCCAATAATTAATTGCCAGCTGCTGTCTCCTAACCTGCAATGGCATATCCCCCATCTCCACCTGTAGTGCAGACACTGGGGAGGTCTGAAACACCCCACTACATATTCTGTGTCCTTGCCCCTGTATGACATCTAGCCTTTCTAATGAGGTCCGGGCTGCCGAACCATATGCTATACTGCCATAGTCTATTACAGATCAGATTAATGCAACATACATGGTCCTCAATGAGGAACGGCCAGCCCCCCACTCCTTCCCCGTCAGACAGCGCATTACATTTAGCACCTTCTTACACTTTCCCACCACTCTCTCAATGTGTTCTGCCCAGGTCAGCCTAGTGTCAAAGTACACTAAGGGCCCCACCCTCTCCAAGTTTCTCCCATATAACCTCAAGTGTACCTCATCTCCCACCTTCCTCCTGGTAAAGAACACTGTCTGAGTTTTCTCTACAGAGAACCTGAATCCCCACATTAATGCCCACCGCTCTAGCTCATCAATTGCTTCCTGTACCTTCCTGACTATGTATGGCACATTTCTTCCCCTCTTCCATAAGGCACCATCATCTGCAAATAACAACCTCCCAATATCCGGCCGCACCTGAGAGTAAACATCATTGATCATGATTGAGAACAACAGAGGACCAATCACTCTCCCCTGCGGTGTACTGTTATCCACCAGGTTGCTGCCTGATACAGACTTCCCCACCCTCACCTGAATAGACCTTCCAAACAGGAAATCCTTTATCCAGTTCCCTTCCACATCATACCATATGCCTTCTCCACATCAAAAAAGACAGCTACAACAGGCTCCTTGTTCACCTGAGCCTTCCTGATCTCTGCTCTAAGCAGAACACTAGGTCCATAGTTCCCCTCCCCTTCCTGAACCCACTCTGATGTGACGATACTAGCCCCCTGCTCTCCAGGAAGTAAGTTTACCTCTCCGAAATCATACGTTCCATAATCTTACATACATGTGATGTTAAAGATATTGGCCGATAGCTTGATGGCCTCGTTGGGTCCTTCCCTGGCTTCCGGATTGGTACCACTCCTGCCTCCTTCCAGCTGCCTGGTAGTTTCCCCTCCTCCCACACTCTGTTGTACAACACCAATACCTTATCCAGTGCCTCATCACTAAGACGGGCCAACATAACATAGCATACCTCATCTTTCCCAGGTGAAGGTAACCCAGCCTTACCTATTGCCATTTACATCCCCCCTCCTATCCAGCACTCCAGGGTCCTCCTCTCTCTTTCTGTCTCTCCCCCTCTGCCCCTTCTCTGACAAAATTTGCCGAGCTATGCACTTGGACAAAAGCTTTGGCCATCATCTCTGCCTTCTCCTCATGTTACTGCCATATCCGCCCCACTCGTCAACACTGGGTAATCCCACTCCCTTCTGACCCCACTCATCCTCTTAATCATCTCCCACAGCCCTTCCAATTGCCATGACCTCTTTGCCTCACCAGGGCCTGCTTATACTGAATCAGATGTGTCACACACCAGTAATGTCATCAAAGATGGTGGATAAATGAAGATAGTTCACTCAGGCCGTTTACCATTGGAAAATAAATAGTCAGTTCTGGTCTACTTAAAGTGGAACTGACAACGTTTTAACTTTGCATATATATAAACATTTTCAAATTCCCAGTTTATGCTACAAAACCAACTTTATAAGAGGTTTAAAAATAGGTTCTATTTGACCAAAAATTCCATGACGTACAGTAAGGCATTGTTGGCAGAATAGATGGATGCAGTTCAATGCATGATTAATATAATTCACCAATAGATTTGTTAGTAGTCCATAAAATATTGGTATCAGGTTGTAAATCACTGCTGGCCTGGTACATTGTTTGCTGCCTCCACCCATTCGGGATGTACTATTTCAGTTTCATGACAAAAACTAAGGCTGGGGAGGTCACTACAATCAAACTAGCAAGGGAAATGATCAAAAGTCAGTCATGACTAATAGGCTAGCGTATCTATTTATGTAGCAAGCTACAAACACGGCGCCTACCGTTAGCTAGCCAGCTAGCAGCTGGGAGGATGTCATGTCATTGGAGAAGTGGGTGGGTTACCGACTTCTCCCCTCATATCATTTTTTGGTGGCTACAGCTAGAGATGCAGGTGTAATTTGGTTAGCTGGCAACAAATGTGAATCGCTTTGCTAGCTATGCTGCACTTGAACGACTGTTATCCAGTTAGCATATCTCTTGGCTTGCGTTTGCAAATTCACTCTGGTTATCTACTCCGATTTCATAATTGGCCATGTGCATGTTATTGTGATGGACGCTGTAGGAGAGAGGAATAACGTTGTGGGAAGGACAAAAAGTGAGTAAAAAAACACGCTAAATATTATTTCAAATACAAATTAACTTTCTTCTGTCGGTTCTTGTTTTTTTTATGTCACAATTCCAACTATCCTCCTTTATCCGGGCTTGGAACCGGCAAACATTTTTTATTTCATTATTTTTTTAGTTTTCTTAAGTTTGGTTTGGTTTTTAACCTTATGGTCCACTTAGGAGCCTACAACAAGTCACAGTAAAACATGAACATTTTTAACCATAACATTTAAAACATTTTTTTGTATACAATCTACATGAACAATCTAAATGTACCAAAAAGAGACAACAGAAAAAACTGTCAATGGCAATGTGAGAAAATGATGGTAACTAGTCTGGCCCTAATTCAGGTAAAATAAAAAAAAAATCTGACCCCCCTCCACACACACACAGGCTGTTCTGGCTCACAGAAAGAGTGGGTCCTTGTCATTTTGGTCAAGGCTCTCTATGGCAGGTTCAGCAACTGAGGGAGCTGACTTAAATTAGTTAGCAGCTGCAAAACAATATCAGGCAGCTGGTGCTCATAGCAAGCCTCACCAGACAGCTTCAGTCCATATCGAATGTACAGGATGGAGTTAAGGGTCTGCAAGGTCATCCGATTTCTAAGTTTGCTTTTTACCACACTCATCTGGCTGAATACTCTCTCGACTTCAGCATTCGAGTGTGGCAAG